AGAACAAATCTCTTTAGTAAAGACTGCCGAACTTTGGAAATGGCAAGACTCACCTTTTGTCTGGAGGGATACTGAAACAATACTCTAAGAAATTCGTCAAATAATCCTTGTCGTAGTTTGCACAGAAAAGTTAAAAGATCTTTCTTAGAAACGTTTCTAATACCATGTTCGTGAGGTACAGGATCGCAATATGTATACAGTTCTTGAAACTGTTGTTTTGTAATGGGTGCTATAGATTTAAACTCATCCTCCGTAAAACTGTTTTCATCTTCATAATGATTCTTATTGTTTGCTACATTACGAAGAGCTTGTAAGAACACTTGCAGTTGTTGTCCTTTTATTACAAATGGCCTATTGATAAATAGCAAGTCTGACAACAATAATGGTAAAATAAATCCACGATTATCCAAATGTCGGTCACAACATCTTATATATTCAGGAATATAAATATTTGTCAGAACAAAGACATTCACTCTGGATTCTAACGACAGTCGTCTAACATTTACAACGGAATTGCAAAATAAACAAGAATTATTTTGGGTTTGAGTAATAACGTTAAGTCGAAGGCATGTTGGATCATTTTCTATCTGTTCCATTTCATGTACAATAGATTTATTGCAATTAAAGCATAGTCGACTCTCATTATTTATATGAAGATACTCCTTACCCAGATTATCTCGTCTAGAAATAGCGATTTGTCTTTTAATTGCATTATCATCGCCGTTGATTCGTGCCATTTGTTGAATTTGAATAGCATTCTCGCAAACATAACAATGAATTCGACATCTGTAAGCCATGATAATATTTTATTATCAGACTGTGTATAGCGATAGCGATTATGGAGACAATATTGCACTTGTAATGCGTCGCAATGAAGGAAAAACGTTTAATATATTTTGAAAAAAATCGTTTAAAACAAAAAGTCAGAATTTTTGTTCGGAGATATTTTAATAATTTTTTTAATGTCGTTAAATAGAAAGAACAATAAAAACTCAGCAACACAGAAGCAGTTGGTGTTCTACAATCGTAGCATTCAGAATTTGGCTGTCTATATATATTAAACAACCGAAAGTAGCAGTCGATGCTTCTTCTTAGTTACGATACTTTTCGGCGTGCGAATGCGTGTCAAAGCATCTATTTGAACCAGCGCTGTCAAGGACGAGCACCAAACCGAGAGATTTTAAGGTATACGCCTATCGCTGCCCCACCACCACTAAACGACAGTCGACACTTAGCGACGGTAGCGCGGTCGCAGGAGCGGCCGTAACAAATACGATAGGAGCGCACTGTTCTCCGACTCTTTTTTATTATATTATATTAATTCTTTTTTTCGAAGTATTTCGATAATATTAAATAATATTATTAATCATGGTTAAGTATTAAATTATTTAATAACGATTTAACGAAAGATATGTATTCAGTATAGTTCCATAAAAACATAATAATTATATTAACAAAAAGTACAGTGATTTATATCATGACAATAGATTTCCACATCATTAAATAATTGTGTATCAATTAAAATCACTTATTTTATTTAGCCACACACGCACACACACACACACACACACACACACACACATAGCAGAGAGGATTTGGAGTCATTAAATACTGCGGGAGTGACGAACCGTCGGGTCCTTATCTCTGCTGACACACAAACATATACACACGAACGCGCACACACAGACACACACACACACAAGTGCGCGCGCGGGACCAGCTCCCTACCACGTCCATGTCGTTGGTCCTGGGTTATGCCAAGAGTAGGGATATATAATGTACTCGCAGATCCTAATTTTTCGTGTTTGACTGGCTGTAGCTCAAAAACTGTCCATTATTTAGCTTTGTGCCCATTACACTTTTTGTTCAGTAAGTCATAAACTACAACATATTAAAAAATTAGCCGATTTCACCGAGATCCAATTTCCTATATAATTTGTGCGGGGTCGTTTTATTACAGAATAATTCATTTTTATAAAAAATGTGTCTCTGTCTCTCCATCATTGTCTCTGTCTCTGTTTCTCTCTCTCCCTCTGTTATTCTTATTATTTAGTTTTATATATATATATACATTTAGTTATATACTATTTTAAAATATTATTTTCTATTTTTTAAATTTACGTTAACATATTTAATTTTATTATATTTTATTATATATTTCTTATTATTTATTATTTATTTATTTATTATTTTATTATTTATTATTTATTTATTTTATTATTTATTATTTATTTATTTTATTATTTATATTCCGACGTCTATACAGCCTATTTAATTTAATAAATTACGAGTCAGTAAATCGATAATTGTAATATATATCTCCTCTTTTCTTTTTCACCTTTTTATTCTCAGTGTATTTATTTTTCTTGCTGTTTTTCTTTTAATAGGTCAATATTTATGCATCTAGCTCTTTCTCTGTTTCCCCCCCCCCTCTCACTCTTCCTCTCCCTCTTCCCTCTTTCTCACACAATCTCTCCCTTTCTCTCTTTACAACACTGTCTCTTCCTTTCTGCCTAATAATGAAATGTAACGGTAACAACGTACTTTTTTTATGAATAACGAGTAATAATAATGAATTACTTTTAAAAAATAATTTTTCCTACTTTACTATCTTGCATTTCTCTATTTTCTATTTTCTTACTTCATTTCTATTTTCTCTTATTTATCTGTCTGTGTACTGTCTTCTCTCCTTATATTTTCTCTTTTTCTTCTCGCTTACTGTACTTTTTTTTTTTCTTCCTTTTTTCTTGTCTTGTTTAAAAATAATAAAAGTATAAACAACATAAAGAGTATCTTAGTTTTATATCCTTATAAATTATCCTATAATATATAAAGCAATACTTATTTTTTATTGCGGCAGACAAAGAAAATTTATTTATTTATTTATTTATTATCTATCCTTTTATTTATTCATTCTCTTACTCACTGATATATTCCTCTTGTCTTTCCATCTCGCTCTCTTATGGTTTTTTTAACGTCTTATCATTTATCTTCATTTTTTCTGTCTCCTCTTCATTTCTTCTCGTACATTCTCTACTTTCTTTCTTTCTTTTCTTTTCCTTTTCTTTTTCTTCCTCTTTTCCTTCCTCTTTTATCTTCTTATTATTTAATTTAGCTATAAAAAGTAAAAACGACACAAAGTATTCAAGTTTTACATCGTTATATTAATTATCACGGTAAACACACTTTGCAATTTTTAAAACTACTATACATTGAAAATATAACCTCGTTATAACCCTATTTTCATATACAAACTGTCAATCGACTTCGTCGTGATAACAGTTACAAGTCGGTAATCGTAACACTTTCGTCATCCCGCCATCTAACGAAGAACATAGTCAACGGACATTTCTATGGTGAGAAGATGTTTCTTACGCGTAAATTCATGATTTCAAACTTTGAGTTAAGATAGCTCAGCTTCTGGAGCACGTAGAGAAAAAATAAAGATAGTTTTGTGGAGTAATGTAAACCCAAGGAATCGATTAAGTCCCTTCGTCAGTTTACCCGTTATAGCCGAGAAATGAGAATCTAGCCTACATTTAAATAAAGCTGTCGCGTAATTATACATGGTAGGCGTTGCTTTGTGCTTGCACTTCGCAAAGTGTTACTTGATACCGATAGTTCGCGATACCAAAATATTAGACACGAAAACAAGAGGAAAAAATATTGATCATATATTTTCATAAATTGGATATTTTGAGGAAATTGAAATATGCGAGCACGATGTAGTTTCTTCATTTCGAAAAATATCGAGCGGTGGGAGGGAAAGAGAAATCAATATACTATTATTGCGTACAATAACACAGATATAATATAAATTTATTAAGTCGTCCTAGTAAATTGGTAGGGGCGCATATTGTGTGTGATGCTAATTAGAATAAATTTAGAATTTTGAAATGTGTGTGCCCTCTCTGCACGCACGACATTCTCAGACACGCAATTTTAATCACTGGTTATTCACATTATCGTAAATACATTTATTTTGCTACGGCATATTAAATCGCACAGGCGTTTACCGTTACAATAAATTTTTAATTAAATGAATATATCGCGCAATATAATAATAGTTATTTGCGCATAATTTGATCATGGAAACGTAATTAATATACAAATAGCCTATTAACGGTTTTTATTAGGTGTTGTTTTGCGATTTTTTTCCATGAGATGCGCCAGAACGTAATTTGCACATGGAAAAAAAGGTTTGTTGAATTAAAGGGTAACCATAGTTACCATAGTTACCATAGTTAAGCCATAGTTGAACTTTGAAAAAATCTAAAATATTTTTTTGCTTTATCACTAGTTTTGAATGTTAAAAATATGATACAAGTGGTTTAAAACCGATACGGGACCCCTAACATAGTCGTAGCGTCGACAAAAGCGGAGTATCTCCCTTCGCGTCACGAAGTAGCTGTGGCCGTTCGGAGGGACCACACCTCCTGTACGCTCGGCAAATATCGGGATCTATTCTTCTACTGTTTTCAATATTAGAAGAATAAAGAAGGCTACACGCAAAACTCTAACGAGAGCTTCAACGCTACTGTGTGGTCTATGGCTCCAAAAGTTTTTTCAAGTGGGAAAAATTATGGATATAACTGCAGATGTAGCTACATGCTATTATAACGATGGCTACAATAGCATAATGCAAATCATGCAAGTTTTGTACCTTAAAATTGGCCCCACTTGCTACAACTTCTGCATGGAGGCAGACGCACGCCGCATCAAGCTAGCTGAGCGCAGCATCACTGACCAAGCCAAAGAAGCCAGGAAGTCAATTTTATCAATGAAAAAAGAAGAACATGAGGTTGACGTGTCAGAGGAAGACTAATTGTATGGAGCAAGCATCGCCGATTAAAGGTAAATCTAAAAAATTAAACTGTATACACAAAAAACTAGTATCAAAACTTTAACTGCGTTTTTCTCGAAACACTGTTTTTAAAATCGGTAGGACAAATATCTCAGCCAATTTCCATCCGATTGATTTGAAATTTTAATACAATCTTCTCAGATATATTTCCCTTTCGAGTACGTAGTATTTTTTCGAAACGTTTGAAACTTTTTGCAGTAACCGTTTCTTTAACAAAATTTTAGTGAAAAAAATGAACTTTTTTCTCAATTACGTGCCAAATTGCAAAAAATTAGTATTTCTCTATAATCCTACGTACTCGAAAGGTTTAATGTATGTAGATAATAAAAATCTTTGCCTGATTATTCCAGATCAAACCAGACCAAGAAGTCCCACCGTTTTTTACGAAAAGAAAAACACGTCTCCGAAGAAATGCCAGTACGCCGCCATTTTGAAAAAAAAAAATAAAAATATGTTTGTATAGTTCGATAGTTATATAATATAGGCTTGCATTTGATTTTTCAATCAAATTAAATTTTCTACTTGTAAAAAATGCTCAAAATTAGATATCATTTTTCGGCCTCAGCCGTGGCGTTACCCCTTAACCAAATATCTGGTCGAATATGAACAATCCAGAAATTCCGATTGAAGTAACCCGAATTCTGTTTAAGTTAACAAGGTTTCTGGTTGACTTAAACAGAATTCGGGTTATTTCAACCGAAATTTCTGGATTGTTCATATTCGACCAGGTATTTGGTTAATTCAACCAAACCTTTTTTTCCGCATAAAAATTCAGTACATTGCGGTTATGTCATTTAGATAACATTTATTTAATGACTTAATTTGCTTTATTTGCAAAAACAGGGTTAAGCAGTCAATTGAGTGCTTTAATGACTAAATACTCACTCCTTATGTACGTGTTATCGGTTTATCGCGGAAGGGATGGATAATAGGCAGCAGAGAAGGAAAAGGGTGTTGGGAGAGTTCGGTGTGACGAAAATACATAACCGCGATGAGTTAAGAGTTACGATCAATTTACTTGAAACTTGCCGAGATAGTGAAATTCACTTACATTATTAAAGTTGCTAACTGTCTAACGTGTGAACTATCAATTGGCCACGACGCTACGATTCGTTGCATGTTATACATGCAAGAAATATTATATAATACGGACACTGATGTATAATTATTGATTGTACAATTATCTCAACAAACGTATCAATTGATTATATCCATATATTCATGTATCACTTCTTGCGGAACGGATAATTACTAGATTCGAAGATCAAGCAAAAAGATCATGTCAGAGAAAAAATGTGTATACTGACAAATAATCGGATAAAACTAACCAAGTCTTTAATTACATCAATTATAATATTGAGTCAAATTAAATAAAAATTAAATTCAACAATTTGAAAGAAAGAAATTTCAATTAAAAACTTTAATGAAAAGTAAAAGTTTAATAAAAACTAAAATATAGTTACATGGACGCTATAATTGGATATTTGCAAGATTTATTTAACTAGAAAAAAATTACAACAATTTCATCAAGATTGTTGAATAAGTTATAATATACAGAGTTCGAATACATGGCTTAACTGCCATCGATAGAATTTGCGCTGGCTACCTCACTCAATCGCAGATAAATTTTCATCAGAACGAGATATAAACGAGTTAGCTTCACTACTTGAAGCTTTATACAGAGTGTTCCAGACTCTCTCCCGCAATTTTTGTGGAAACGAA